AATGTGATAGCACTTACTAGGGATTAAACTGAGGTCCCCTACACTGAGCCACACCGCCCCACACACACCTGGCCCTTTTTAAATTCTTAGTTTGAGTCAGGCTGGGCTCAAACCTGCAGCCCTCTTCCCTCAGCCTCCCAGAGTGCTGGCACTTCAGGCACCACCATCCCTGGTTTTTACCAGACGTATTTTGATAACCTCGAACTCAGTGTTCTCTGCCTATGCCCTTTCCTTTGTCTAGAACACACCTTTCCCCCGTCTACTTCCAAATTCCTAAGCTACTCCTGTTTTTTCTTCAAAACCCTGCTCCGTTGTTACTTCCTGTCAGAGAACTTCCCTGAGTGGATCCCTCAGCCATTTTCGGCCCCTGGTCTGCACTCTTGCTGTGCTTCCTACACACTTACTATGCTGCTGTACATTCTGGTGCTGTGTGGCACTGCGTGTTGTAGGCTGCAGCATTCCCTGCTGCCTTACACAGCTGTCCTCTATCCTAGTACTCCTCCGCTTAGCTGTGTGACCTGGGGCATATTACTTAACTTTTCTGTGTTCTAGTTTCTTTGCCTGTCCCGTGTAAGAAGTGCATGAATGAACATGCATTGTGCTGTTTCTATGAGTGCCTGGCCCCAAGAAGGAACTGGATAAACATCAGCTATTTTTAAAATTGTTGATTTCTACATTCTCTCTTCTGCATTCAACTCTAAGCTCCTGGAGGGCCAGGACTCATCAGCCAGAGGGTCCAGCATGGTGCCTGGCTATGCCAGGTGATTCCTTAATGCTTTCTGGCCTGTGCTGACCAGGAGCTTGGGGTTCCCTTGTAGAGATCCACACTATGGAGACCAACAGCTGCCAGTCTTAAGTGATAAGGAGGCCCGAACAGCACAGAGCACAAACAGTTGAGGCTTGGGGCTTTGTCAGCAGAGGTAGCTGAGCTCCAAGTGTGTTACTTGCTAGTTTGCTTAATCTCTTGGTGCCTCAGTTTTCTCACCAGTAAAACAGAAAAAAAATTCCACCTCCATCTCTTAGAGTTGTTGTGAGAAACCCAAATAAGGTAGTGTCAACGAAACACTTAGCAAACGGAGTGTCTTGCACCTTCTCTAAATGCTCCTTAATCTAACGGCGAAAATAGTGTCCTGTAAGACCAGACAGGAGGCTGCCAGGGCTGGCATAGACTCCTTGTGGCACACACCCTAGGCTTCCCCACAACTACAGGCAGATAAAGGGGGCGCTAAAGGCTAGGGCCAGACCCAGAGCTTCTCCTAGGACCGACGTTGGTCATGGGGACAGAGGCATCGGACAGAGGATAGGAGATTAATCCTCGGGCCAAGTGTTCCCTCCAGGGGAACTATGTGCACACAGATAAGAAGGAGGTCGGGGCGGCTGCAGCAGGCACTGAACCTGGCAGTCGTGAGTCATAAGCATCCTAATAAAGGAAACACTGCCTCTTTACCGTGATGTTCTAGGTCCCTGTGTGCTCCCCGACACTGTGAGTTGCTGCTATCCCTCTTATCCTCAGGCTGCATAGGAGGCAGCTGAGGCCCAAATGAGGAGGTCACTTGCCTGTCGCTGCTGGGACATGGTGGCGCGCTGCCCCTGGGCTTCCCTGGTGTACCCAGTGCTACCCAGTGCCTCTGGCCCCTGTGTGTGCAGGGCCGTGAGCCAGAGGAGCAGCTCCTCTAGGAGTGAGGAGCAGGAGGGACTGTGGGTCTCGGGTTCCAATCTCAGCTCCTCCTACTCCCTAGTTGTGGGGCTTTACACATGTTGTTTCACTCTAGCCTCAGTTTCCTCACCTGTAAATTGGGAGTGAAGGGATAAAATAGCACCCTCAGGATTGCCCATGGGCTCAATGCTCCAATACCTGTGGAGTCGTAGTACAGAGCTCCTGTGTGAGAATGGCTAGATCGGTGGTGATGGTCACCGGGCCTTCCACAGCCAGCCAGGCTGTAGTCCCGATGAAGGAGCCTGGGCCCCCCATGCTGAGAAGAAGTGGAGGATCCTTGCTGGAACAGTGGCCTCCACTGAGGCAGGCTTATTAGAAAGCCAGCCCTTTGGGCCTTAAAAGTGCGCCTGCCGAATGAGCCTGTACTGGGCGCACTCACTGCCAGCAGGGCACTTGCCTTCCTCAAGTCGATGCCAGCTCCGTCCACTCCCTTCACCCCCACCCAACAAGCTGAGAACAGCTGGAGCAGGGCTGCAGTGTGGTACACGTCACATGCGTGCCCTTCTTACCCCTGAAGCCACGGCCATGGGGGGCCCTGGGCCTGCGAGAGTCAGACTGGTGTGGAGCACAAGCTGCCCTGGACACCCATCTCTGTCAGCTGCTTTCTGTGTTGCACTGCAGAAGGAGGGGGTGAGCTGGGTGTGGTGGTGCCTGCCTGTAATCTCAGCACTAGGAAGGCTGAGGCAGGAAGATCGCCGAAAGTTCGAGAACAGGCTGGGCTGCATATTTCAGGGCTAGCCTGAATTAATAGCAAGACCCTGTCGCAAAGAAAAAAAGAGGAGGGGTAACGTTTGTGGACACATTCTGTGGACTCTATATAGCTTCATCCACTAGATCTTCTCTTGCCCCCTCACCATAAGTGGCAATAGCTCTTACTGGACCCTCCTGCCTCTTCCTGACAATCTCCTCTCAACACGCCAGCCAGGACGAGCCTTTTTCCACCTAAGTCAGGTCACATCAGTTCTTCTCAAAGCTCTCCCAGGGCCATCTCTCCTATTCAGAGAAAAAGCCAGCCTCCACCAGGCAGCTGTGTGACTTTCAGCAAGTCCTGCCGCCTTTCTGCTTCATTTCTGTCCACACTGAATCCCAGAAGCTCCCATCTTGGAGAATAATTGTGTTAAGCGCATTAACCCAGATATCTTCTTGGTTTGCGGTAAGAACCAAATAAATGTAAGCTCTGTCATTATTGTTACAGTGGCCATAGGGCCTCACACCATCTGGCCCAGCTGCTCTTAGCGCGGCTCACTCTGTGTCTCTTAGCCTGTCGGTTCCTTCCAGGATCTTTGCCCCTGTGGGTCTCTGCCTGGAAACCTTCCCTTTTTGAAAAGATCAGCTTCTCCATCAGTCTCCCTCTGCTACAGTTCAGTATTTCAGAAGCTGTTGAAAGAGACAGAGGCAGCTCTGTGCTGCTTCGTTTCCAGTTTCGTATCAAGCCCCAAGCCCCACCCATCACCTGACATAGGTTCTGGTGAGGGCCTTCGTCCCGATTCACAGATGGACAGCTACTCAGTGTGCCCTCACGGGACAGTGAGGAGAAAGAGAGAGGACAGGGAGGAGAGCGGGAAGGAAAGAGGAAGGAAATGGAGAGAGAGAGATCGATCTTTCTTGTTATAAAACCACAGTCCTATTGGATTAGGGGGCCTTGCCTTCATTAGCTCATTTAACCTTGATTACCTGTGCACTTGTGGTTAGAGTGTCAACATATGAATTTGGTGGTGGTAATAATTTGGAAGTGGCCGAAGGGGTAGAAGCAGCTCTGCGCTGCTGGTCTCGCCTTTCATGTGGAGATACATGTCAGATCACACATCATTCAGCCCTGTCTTGGGTCCTCTGCTAATCTCGTGTGGCCCTCACTACAGCCACATAAGGTAGGTGCTGTCACCACCGTTCCACAGTCAAAGAGACTAAGGCCCAGAGAGCTGAGCTCTCTTGCCCAAGCCCCAACCCAAGCTGGAAAATGGCCAAATACCTTGTCCATGGAACTCAAGTGACACAGCCCCATCCCCCAAGAGCCTCTCCGGACAGGAGGAGCACGTGGGGTGTGGCAGTGGGCGCCACGTGCCAAGTGCTCCATTTGGCGGCCAAGTGCAGCAGAGCTCAAACGTCAGTGAGGGCTGGGCTGGTCCTCACGGCAGACGGAGGAGGCTCAGTCAGTGAAGAGAGAAGGCGGCAGGCATCTCCCTTTGTGAGTTCATGGGGACCAGCAAAAGAGGCAGCGACTTCACAGTAGTGGGAAAGCTGAGAAGTGGGCAGGGTTGGCCCCTGGAGGGTGCTGTTCCTGTGCTCTCTCCCGCAGCAGGCAGAAAGGCCTGGGGGGAGAGCTGGCACTGGCAGGGTGTTACCCTGAGCAGCATCTAGAGCACTGCATTTGTTATGTGGCTGGGCTGGGTGGGTTGCTTCAGTCTATGAGTTCAAGACCACCCTAGGTAACACAGTGCAACCCTGTCTCAAAAAGGGGTGGAGGTTGGTTTAAACCTTGTAAAGTACAAAGCTGAGTTTTATTTGGCTCAGTAGAGGGAGATGGCAGCTGTGCCAGGGCTGACCGCCCTAGCTGCAGCCTCGGGAAAGATCTTGTGACTGATAAACCTTCAGAGATTCACTACATAGTGGCCCTGGAGAAAGGAGCCAGCCAGTTTAGCATCTATGAATGTCAGGGTCTTTGAAGGCCCAACTGCCTCTTCCCCTGTTGGGTGCTTGGTGTCTTAATCATAGTCGGCTTTGGTCATTAGTTCTAGAAGAGTCCCCAGTGTGGCCAAGGGCTCCATGTATTGCTATCAAGGATTCACCTCTCCAACAGTCAGGAAGGATCAAGGACCCTGGGCTCCTAAGTTCGACCCGACTCCCAGGAGGAGGCTGTGGAGCATCCAAGACAGAAGGGAACGCAGATGTCACTGCCCTTTGTGGGGGTCAAGGCCTGTGCACCTGGCCTCAGCTGCCTGGTACTCAAATCCACCTGGCTGCCAGCTCTCGAGATGACACCAAAAGGCCTACCTTGGGATTGTGTATCTTCTTCCCTTCCTTCTACCCTACCACGATAAGACCCCAAGGGGGTCTGCTGTGCCAAGGGTGGCAGTTTTCGGGGATGGAGGCTGCTAGCCTGGGGCCACCCTGATGTGAGGAGGGCTGGGCTGTCTGCAGAAGAGCAGGAGAAGCCAACCGGGCAGCTGAGTCTTCATGCAGATATGGAACATGACCTGGTGTCCCCAGGGGCCCCCAAGGGACTTCCTGTTGTCTAGAGAGATCTCACTCTCCTGCTTGTCCTCCCTCCCGACCACCACTGCAGGTTTTTCATCATCAAAGAAAGCTTTCTCCTTTACTACTCTGAGAGTGAAAAAAAGAGCTTTGAAACCAACAAATACTTTAATATACATCCAAAGGTGAGACAGCCCCTTCCCGGGCCCACAATGCGGGAGGGCTCATGGGGACAAGGGGGATGGTAGGGGTCGAGGGTCTGTTGTCTTGATGCTGTCCAGCGGGGAGCCTTGAGAGCAAATCTTCACATGGCACCTCCTGGGCTGCACCTCATCCTCCTGTGCCCCTAAGTCTTCCCCAGCCCTTCCTCTTTGCCCTGGGAGTCGGTTCTGGACTCTGTTTTGTGGCGCCAAGGCCTGGTCCAGCTGGGGCCCTTGGCTTTGTCAAAGGCCCCCTAGTGACCAGAGCTGGTGGGGTGGGGCTGCCTGCTGTGGTTCCTCCTCAGGGCGTCATCCCTCTGGGGGGCTGCCTGGTGGAGGCCAAGGAAGAGCCCAGCATGCCCTACGCCATGAAGATCTCGCACCAGGACTTCCACGTGAGTGAGGCAGCCCTCAGCCTGGGCTCAGTGGGGGCACCCGAGCCTCTTCCTGCCTTCCCCAGATAGCCCCACAGCATGCTGGCAAGGGGGCTGTCGTGCCCAGGACCCTGGGGTGGCTGGAGAGCAGAGTGGTCCACTCTCCCTTGGTGTGGCTGCCTCTCAGGCATGCCCATGGCTCCTCTCTCCACCAGGGCAACGTCCTGCTGGCCGCCGAGTCTGAGTTCGAGCAGACACAGTGGCTGGAAATGCTGCAAGAGTCTGGGAAGGTGTAAGTTCCCAGCCGGGAGGGCTGCCTGCGGGTCCTGAATGCCCTGCCAGTCAGCTGGGATCCTGGTGGGCACTGAGACGGGGCTGTGGGAGCTGGCCAGGATGCGGAGAGGAAGTGGGCCAGACTTCAGAGCACCTGTGTGGGTCCCCGATTGAGCCTGGGAAGGGTCTTTAGTCCCAGCGGTAGAGGTGAACAGCATGTGCTTCAACTCTTGGGAGTGATTCAGTGTCACTGGTTGTATTTGGCACCTCCTGAAACCATTTCACTGCCAGGCCTGTAATTCTAGGGAGGGCCAGAACTAGTGCTTTGTAAATCTGGGTCCAGAGCACAGTGGTCCTCAGGCGACACAGTCCGTTTGCACACAAACGCCTACCCTAGGTCCAAAAAGTAACACTGAGTCTCGCCCTGTGCCCGTGCTCAGTGGTGGCCATGCAGTGGTGTAGAAAGCACCTGGAAAGCAATCTCTCCCCTGTTCTGAAAGCGCGCTCCACCCAGTCTCCGGTGGCCCACTTTGCAGCCCAGGCCGGCCTCCAGGCGCTGTAACTGATCCATGCTAGGGTCGTGCCCAGAGTCCCGGGTGCCACAGTGACAGTGAGCTCAAGCTGAGATTCTGGAGCGAGGATGGGAGAGTAAAAACATGCACATTCTCCTTCTCCTCCACCCTTCCCAATTGACGCTTTTGTTTCTTCTTCTGTCCTCGGTCCCATCTGCCCTCCCTCGCCAGGACCTGGAAGAATGCCCAGCTGGGAGAAGCTATGATCAAAAGCCTGGAGGCCCAGGGGCTGCAGTTGGCTAAAGAAAAGCAGGAGTATTTAGGTTGGCTGGAGGGGATCTGAGGGTTCCTAAGGGTAGCACGCAGGGGGGCCAGAGGGGTATCTCAGGTGAGGGCTCAGCAGGCTCAGCCTAAGGAGCCACTGAAAGGCTTCATTGTGCCTTAAATGTCCTTTTGGCCAGTGTGGCTGGAGGCAAGAGACTGTGGTGGCCAGGAGCCTGGACTCTGAACCCACGGTTGTCACTTGGTCAGCGTCTTAGGCAGCTCACCCACTCTAACACCGATTTCCTGCTCCATAGAGTAGAGATAAAAATCGTCTTTAGCTTTTAGAGGCAGAGTGGCGGTCAACGGCAACATGCCTGTGGGTGCCTGTATTGGGCACGTAGTGAGAGCTCCACACCTGGAGCTGACCTCGTCATCCTACCCTGGGTCCCCAGGTCCTGTGCTTGGGAGAGACGACGGTGCAACTGAGGCCTCGCTCACTGCATGTCCCTGTCCTCTTCTGTCTACTTAGAAACTTGCAGCCCTTTCACCGCTTCCCCTCGGCCTGCTCCACACACATCTTTCCTCACCCCAGGGCTCCGCCCTCCCTGCTAGCCAGACACAAATGCAGGTGCTGAGGGGCCGAGGACATCCCTTGGGGCTGCAGAGACTCAGGATGAGGCCCTGTCGTGGTCCTCTGAATGCACAAAGCGGGGTGATAGCCAGAAAGCAGGAAGCAGCTTAGGCCGCGGAGGTAGCTCCCCTCACTAGAGCTCAGCCCAGACCCTGGCCAGCGGAGGCTCTTCCTGGGGAGATACTGGGTCCATTCAGAACCTCAGATCTGAGGGAACCTTTTGTGAATGTGTGCTTGCTTTGGCAGACAAACTGATGGAAGAGACGGAAGAACTGTGCCTTCAGAGGGAACAGAGAGAGGTAGGCGCACAGGAAGGTGTTGAGACCTGGTGTGCTTCCCGCCCTGGCCCTCAGCAGCCCTGCAGCCTGCTGGCCTGTGTCTCTAGCAAAGGATCGGGGAGTGACGCAGGGGACTGGGCACCCACGGGATGTGCTGGGAAGTGAGATGGGGTGGTGCAGGGAGGCCAGGGGAGCTGACAGTGCTTGCCACTGGCTGTAGCTTCTGTGCTCGAGGTGCATTTCTCCTTTCCAACTCAGAAGGAAAGTAGAAGAGGGTAAGGGACCACCATCCAAAGAAAAAGCCATCCAAGAATTTTGCAAGCTGCTTGTTACCGATACTCATAAGAGACTGAAATGGCCTCTGTTAGCCAGAAGTGGGATGGTGGGGTTTGATGATCTTGGGGTTCCTTCATTCTCTGTTGACAACACAATTCCTGAGCAGGTTCGTGACTGACTTGAAGCATTGTGGGGTCAAGGAGGCGCTCTCCTCACTGGTACCACTAAAGTTCACTGTCATATCCCCTGTCCAGGCAACATGGGCCTCCTGTGTTCTGAGGCTCCACTCCCATGCCTGAAGGGCAGGGTAGGGTAGGGGTTAGCTATGGAACTGGAGCCAGCTGTTTGTCTTTGTATTTAAAACCTTCTCCACTTTTAGCTGCAGGACCTCAGGCAAGTTTCTTAACCTGAGGGACATCACTACTCTCATCTGGAAGAAGAGGGGAATGGTAGAACCTATCTTCTTAGGGATGCTGTGGGATTGAGGAAGATGTTATGTGTGAAGTGCTCTGCACCTCGTCCATGCGTAATGAATACTGTGTTTATTTAGCACATGTTGTTATTAACAACACATCCTGCACATGAACTGTCTGTGACCCCAAGCTAGAGTGTCTGTGTGGAGAACCCCACAACAGGAGGAGCTGATGGAGTCCACTTCTCTGCCTTGTCTCTTTTCTTTGTCCTCTTGCCTTTGAGCCGCAGGGCGGGGGCCAGCAGTTTAGACAGGTTTGGTGCCTCCTCTCAGGAGCTCTGCACCTTCCTAACCATCCCTCATAGGCCTCTGCAATGTGCCCTTTGCACCCCAAAACTTCCCAGGGCCTGCATAGCACCTGCCTGGGATGTGGAATGATATGTGACTCTAATCCAGTAAGACAATCCAGTCTTATTTTTCTTTATCTAAAATGTTATCAATTATTCTGCCCCATTTATCCAACTGGATTTCAAGTCACTTGTTGATTACTAAGAATTAATAAGGGTTGAGGCTGTGTATTTGGAAGTCTGGATTTGAGGACTGTCGTCCTGAATCTCTCTACTTCCCAGGGCCTGGCCTCGATATCCACAGACCCTCATCTGGGTCCCCCATTAGAGTCTGGGCATTTTTGCCACACAGTCCTGTGTTTTGAGTGGGACTTTGGTGTATTGCCAGCAACCTAAAGACAGGTGATTCAAGAAGCTAGGATGGGATGAGGTGACAGACACAGCCACCAGCAGGGAGAGATTTATCCGTCAGAGAGGCTAAATCTGGGGCTGGAGGAAAATTTAGATACTTTATCTAGGTCTTTAGCCAGGAAATTGGGACAGCAGAGACCCACTGCACACAGGCCTTGTTTAATGCAACTGCTTATTAGAGGGAGGCTGTCAGCTGTGAACTCTCTTTTTTGGTGCAAAATTGGAGTAAATCTCAGGCCCAGCTGGTACCTGCAGTGGCAGGTGCTCTGGGCCAGCAGGAGAGAACTATGCCCAGGTCTGCAGTCCTTGTCCACCACGTGCTCTAGATCAGCATCTTCTCCTGTCCTGACCAAGGAGTCATTCTGTCCAAGTTTTCCTTTCTTAACTTGCCATCCAAAGCAGGGATCTATCTCCCTGTCCCTTTGCCACCTCCACTCCAGGGCGGAGACTGATGGGGTGCTTCCCACTGCACAGAAAGGCCCTTGGTACAGTGTCCCATTGATAAAGATTCTCCATGGTTTGTGAGGTCTGTTGGGCAGGCTGGCCTAAAAGAAGACTTGTGGGCTGGTCCCTTCAACTTTATAACTGTCAGGCTCACTCTTGGCCTGTGATCTATGGATTTTGGCGACTGTGTGACGTCATGTACCCATCACTTAGTATCATACAGGAAAGTTTCACGGTCCTAAAAACCCTCCATGCTGCCTATCTTCATCTCTTCCCCACTCACCCCTGGCGACCTTGGGTCTTTGTACTGTCTCCAAAGTGTTCTCTTTTCCAGAATGTCGTATGTAGTCATTGGAATCACATACTGGCTTTGTCATATTGGCTTCTTTTACTTAGTAATATTCATCTGTGCTTCTTTCATGTCCTTTGTACCTTGGAAGCTCACTTTAGCACCAAATAATACTGTTGTTGGAGTGTACTATACTTTGTTTATCCGTTCTCCCCACCGAAGGACATCTTAGTTGCTTCTAAGTATTGGAAATTATAAAGAAAACCACTGTAAATGTAAGTATATAATTTTTTGTGTGGATGTTCATTTCAGTTCATTTGAATAAGTAACCTGGAGAGCAGTTCCTGGATTACAGAGGAAAATTATGACAGTTTTGTGAGACTCTGACAAACTCTTCCAGAGGAGCTGGGCCATTTTGCATTCCCATCAGCAATGGATGAGAGTTCCTGCTCCACATTTTTGCTAGCATTTGATGTTGCTGATGTTTTGCATTTTGGCTGTGTTCGTAGATGCTTAGTGGTCTCGTGGTTGTTTGAATCTGTGATTATCTAATGACATATGATGTTGAAGATTTTTCTCTGCTCATTTGCCATTTGTAGATCTTTGGCTGGGTGTCTTTTCTGGTCTCTTTCTTTCTTTCTTTCTGTTTTGTTACCGGGGATCGAATGTTCATTTTCTTTGATTTTTAAGTGTTCTTGTGTTTTGGCTAACAGTCTTTTATCAGAAACATCTGCAAGCATTTTCTCTCGCTCTGTGGTTTATCTTCTCACAATTGAACAGCCACTTTTTCAGGACGCTTTGGCAGCTTCTTATAAAACTCCTGTACTTTTCCATGTGACTTGGCAGTTCCACTTCTTGACATTGTCTTTTGCAGAGAAAAAGCTTAAAAATTTTAGTGAACTCCAGCTTGTCAGTTATTTTATGGTGTTGAATCTAAAGAGTCAGCTTCCAGGGCACGCAGGTTATAGTTTTGTGTTTTATGTTTGGGTTTATGGTTCATTTTGAGTTTATTTTTTGTGAAAGGTATAAGGTTTGTATCTGGGTTCTTTTCTTTTGTTCTTTCTTTCCTTTCCTTTTCCTTCCTTGCTTCCTTCCCTCGCTATAAAAATTTAGGATCAGTTTGTGAATAGCCATAAAATAATGTACTGAGATTTTCACTGTTATTGTATTGAATATAAAGAATTGAGTATAAAGAAATGCCATTTGACAATACTGAGTCTTCCTATCCATGAATGTGGAGTAGCTATTTATTTATTCATATCTTTCATTAGTTGTGTAGTTTCTACATATAGATCTTGTACATGTTTTATAACTAAATCTTATGTAACTTTTAAAGGGATACTAATATAGACAGTAACGTGTTTTTAATTACAAATTTCGTTTGTCTGTTGCTGGTATGCAGGAAAACAATTGACTTTTATACATTAACCTTGTAACCTTGCCAATTGTTTATGAGCTGCAGGAATTTTTGTGTCAATTCTCTTGGATTTCCTACATAGATGATCATGTCATCTGTGACAAAGACAATATCATTTCCCTCTTCCCAATCTGTATACCATTTATTTCCTATTCTTATCTTACCACATTATCTAGGACTTCCAGTACAATGTTGAAAAGCAGTAGTGAGAGGGAACATCCTTGCTTTGTTAGTGGTTAAAGGGAATGCTTCTAGATTTACGCCATTAAGCATGGTGTCAGCTATAGGGTTTGTTTTGTTTTGTTTGAGACAGAGTCTTGCTACATTGTAGTTCAGGCTGCCCTTCAACTCATTTTGTGGTCCAGACTGGCCTCGAATTTACAGCAATCCTCCTGCCTTAGCCTCCCAAATGCTGGGAATACAGGCAGTGCCATACACCTGACTCAGCTGTAGGTTTTTTGTACATGTTTATCAAGTTGAGGCAGTCCCTTCTATTCCTAGTTTATTTGGTATTTTAATTACCAATAGGTGCGGGACTTTGTCAAATGCTTTTTCTGTCTATGTTGATATGCTCATATTATTTGGTTGTTTTTTTTTTTTTTTTTTTTTTTTTTTTTTTTTTGGTACCAGGAATTGATCTCGGGCCCTTTGGCTTATGAGGCAGGCAGTGGAACCACTGAGCCAAATCCCCAGCCCTGCTCATATGTTTTTTTATTCTTTACCTTGTTGATGTGATAGATAACATTAATTGATTTTTTAATATTGAACAACTCTTGCATACTGGTAAAAGTGCACTTGGTCGTGATGAATAATTCTTTTTATGTATTGTTGGATTTGATTGCTAATAATTTATTATGGAATTTTGTATCTGTGTTAAATGATTCAAGTCTGTAGTCTCCATTTCCTATAATGTCTTCATTGAGTTTTGGTACTACAGTAATGCTAGCCTTATCAAATGAGTTAGGAAGTATTCCTTATGCATCTATCTTCCAGAATATTTATAGAGAGTTGGTATACTTTCTTCCTTAAATGTTTTATTGAATTCACAGAGAATCCATCTGGGCCTGACGTTTTCTGATTTGAAAGGTTTTAAATCATTATTTTGACTTAATTTATTGTATGACAAATTATTGACTTAATTTCTTCAGTAGATATCGGTTTATTCAGATTGAGTGTTTCTTGTGTCTTTTTTTTTCTATTTCTTTAATGAAAAAATAAAACATTTTTAAATTACCAGGTAAGAGAATAGCAATAGTTATTACACTGTGTATCATTATCTTCAAAGTAGTTACTCAGCATGACATAAACCAAAAAGATTCTTATGAAAAAAGAATAACACAAACTTTCTTTTCAATGGAAGAAGATAAACTTTCAGTATAAATGAAATGAATTAGCATATATATTGAAATATTTTTTAAATAATTA